TGTAGTTTAAGATTAAAAAAAAAAAAAACTATGGACCCATGCCACAGGGGTAAGAGCAAAGGGGATGTTTTCACTTGACTCACCTCAGGAAATTCGGAATCTCCATTCCTCTCTCTCTAAACAACATGCAACTATTCAGATGTCTAGTTTGTGCCAGAACCCCTGTCACACAGCGTTTCTGAATGTGCATGTGTCCACCCTGGGCCTGAGCTCTGCTCACTCTGTTTCCATTTCCGCAATGCTGCATATTATTTAATTTTTAGTATAATAAAGCACCGCATTCAACATGATTTTTAAATTTCAAGCCTATACAAAGAGCTCCTGCATGAGTTGCCTCTTCCTCACACCCTCTCTCCAGCGGCCCTGGAATTATTTCGATTTTAGGTCTTGTCTGGGTTTCCCTGCATTAGCGCTGCGGGGTCCCCCACCGCCCACCTGCTTGGGGCGGCACCGGGACCCTGCCGCAGGTGGCACATCTCCCGCTAGTAGGTGAACCCGCGGCTGCCAGGAGGAATCACACGTGTCCCAGCGGCTCAGAGATGGTGCTGGAATGTACTAGAAAGGAATGATATAACGTATGGCACTTGGTTAAAAACACAGGCGCAAAGAGAAGAACTGAATTTCGAAATGATGATACAGAGATGATGTATCATCCCTCTATGAAATATATAAATGATGTTTTAGATGATGTATAAATGATGTATTACAATACATCCCTCCATGAAATATATAAATGATGCCTTCTCCCCTGTGTATGTCTGTGATTCCTCACATCTGTGGTGTCACGTCCTATTAATATGGAGAAATATGACAGAACAGAGTATTCTAATAGACTGGAGGACGTGGTCAACCAGCTCCCAGGAAAATCCAGCTTCCAGGAGTTCAAAGAGTTATCAGAAAACATGGTGTCCTCAACCCACATGCCTGCATGACAAGAGTCATCCCAGAGAGAGAGTAACTGGCTGAGGCTGTTTCCTGGCAAATCCCATACAATAGTCAAGGAACGCACGACGCCAGGTTTATACAAAATCCTCCACAGAAGAGAAGGAGGTGGAGTTCTCTCTAACTTTTGTTTTCTTTTAATTGAAGATAAACTCTGAAAGCAAGCAAGCTAAACAAATATAAAATTGATGGCTGAATCTCCCTTAACATCTAAGTGCAAACAAGTGTTTGCCAAAAGATCTGTTAATGCATGAAGAGATGTGAAAACGGGCCTGTAAGCTCTCCTCAGAGTGTCGGTTCCAGGAAATCTGAGCAGAGTTACACTCTCACACGTCATCAAATCAGCTGCTGATGGGGCTCTTAAATGCTAAATAGCTACCTTGTTGGATGCGCTGTACTTCTATGTATATACACATCATATTATTTATGACACCAAATTTTCAGTAACTGACAATGCATATTTCTAACAATATATTTTCACACAACTCTCTTTTCCCCTGGCACTATCACTTCATCTTTTTATTTTTCAATTTTAATACTTTATTTTTTTATTTTGTTGAAATAACAAGGACTTATAACATTACATATGTTTCAGGTATATATTATTAAAAATGCAGACTGGCCAGGCCCTATGGAAACAGTATGGAGGTTTCTCAAAACAGCAACTCCACTCCTAGCTATCTACCTGCAGGAAGAAAAACACCAATTCAAAGGGACAGATGCACTTCTGTGTCCACTGCGGCACTATTTACAATAGGCAGGATGTGAAAACACCCTCAGTGCCCAAGGACAGATGACCGGAAGGCAGTGGCCAGGAAGATGCGGTGTGCACACACACGGGAAAAACTACTCTGCGATAAAAAAGACGAAATCTGGCCATTTGCAACAACATGGATGGAGCTGGAGGGGATGATGCTGTGCACATTAGTCAGAAGAAGACAAGGAAGGCCCAGAGTGGGAGATAAACATTCAACTGACGTGATTTGGAAAGGAGAGTGATTTCTAGACAGGGCGGAACACACTCGACTCAAGGACACAGATAATCATACGCACAAATACGCAAAAGGAAAAGAAACATACATGTGGCCACTTGCTAGAAAAGGCAGGGTTGAGGATGGGCAAGAGTGGAGAACTGCGCAGAAGCAAACACTGTGGAAAATTCCCACCAGACACACGGAAGAGGCGCTTAGTGACAAGGCCGCTGAGATCCTTAGATGGAGATGGGCCACAGAAGCAGAGCGGGGACCCTGCAGCCCTGACCTTGCTGGATCAAGAGTTAAAGGAGGTGCTAGAAGAGCGGCAAAGGGCAGGGGGCCCGTGTGGTTGTGTCTGATGGGATGAAGCTGAGAGCCCTTGAAGGGCCCCGTCACTTGAATTTGGACAGAAAACGCCTGTGGCAGCCAGAGGGTCACCCTGACCATCAGTGTCTAACGCTGGACTTTCCTTGGCGGTGCTGACGGAGCAGGAGGGTCTGATGACAAAGCTGGAGCCGGGCGTGCTCCCTGGCTTCTCTGCAAGTGGCGGGGCGCCCAGCTGTGAGGACAGACACAGACCCGCTGGGAGCTGCCCCCACAGAGTGGATTCAGACCCGGGCCCGGCACAGCAGACTCGGGATCCAGAAGAGCCGGGGAGCAGGAGCCCGGGAGCAGGAGACGAGTCACCCGGCACACAGGACCGTGATCCACCGTGGAGATCGCAGCTGTGGTCATATTTGCATTTCTTAGCATTTCAGTTGAAAAGATGATCGCTTATTTGCTTCTCATGGATTAATGATGGGAGGAAAGACTAAAAAAGTCCATAAATAGTTTATGCATAAATATTTGGCCAAGGACGACCTCTCTGTTCAGAGACAATGTAAGGCGCAGGTGACCAGACAAGCAGGTTAAGGAACAAGTCAGAAGCATGCGTGTTAGCATAGATTCTACTAATGTGATAATATCGCCCTCCATATAAAGGATTTCTGCTCATTAAATTTCAGAAATAGCCAGAAAAAATTAATAATCCCTTTAACATAACGTCTTAAACATTTAGAGATTTGAACTAAATATATGTATCAATATGTGTGTGTGCATCAGATATACTTATATGTGATCTGCATTCTGAGAAGATGTATGATATTGTGGGACCACAGCTAACTTTTCATATACTTTCTATGATTAAACACTCACAGCTAACGCTTCATTCAACACATTTTTTTCAATTAATATAGAGGTCAGCCTCTTTGATAACGAAATGAGCTGCACATGGCTGGCACCAGGAAGGCCACTGAGTGGGTGGCTTAGAAAGCCTGGTAGCCAGAAGATTGAGATGCAGGCACCACTGAGGGCTCTGGGGGTGCAAAGACCATGTCGTATTTCACTTTGCTCCACAAATGTGACATATCCAAAAATCAGCAGAGTCTTCTGTCTGGACCTGCAGTAGCAATGACCTCGAGTGTAGTGATTTGTGCTGTCATATGTGCTTCCATCAGTGCAAAGATTGTTCATTTTTGATCTTTGAAATCGTGAAAGAAATCATCAGACTCTAGCACATTTGCACATTCTATTAAAATCACTGATCTAAAATCCAATGGAAGGACATGTTGCTTCATTAAGATAATATGGACTGCCTGGTGGCCATTTGCATTTCCTCTTTGGAAAAATGTCTTTTAAGTTCTTCTGCCCATTTCCTCACTGGATTGTTTATTTTGTTTTTGTTGAGTCCTGTGAGTTCTTAGTATATCTTTGTGATCAGTCCCTTATCAGTTGTATGGAGTGCAAAGATTTTTTCCCAGTCAGTGGGGTGTCTCTTTGTTTTGGTTAATGTCTCTTTTGCTGTGCAGAAGCTTTTCAGTTAGATGTAATCCCAGGTGTTTGTCTTTTCCTTGACTATCTTTGCTTTGGGCGATGAGTCTTTAAAGATGTTAGTGAGGTATATCTTGTGATGGTGCACGGGTGCATTGGTGAAGGAAACTCTATGGGGACTCCACCTTAGGGGGTGAGGGGAAGCAAATAATGTTTAAAAATGAGCAATGACATAAAAAATAAAAAAAATAACTTTTAAATTTTATATGAAGTGTTCACTAATTCCTCAATAGAAATATGTACAAGAGATTCCTTTAGGTTCTAGTAGATTCATTTTTTGAAACATAAGCCACACAATTACTATGGGTTTTATGCATCACCTGCAAGTGTGACAACATCATGGATGCATTTCCCCAATAGCTTAAGTGCTCCCAAAGCTTCTGGCATCAGGTCTTCCAAAGACGCTGTCCCCTGTGCTGGGTGCTCATGCCCGATGCAGTGCACTTGAGGCTCTTCAAGCAGCTTAACATCTGCCAACAACCTTGCCGATGTGCATAAAAGCCTCAAAACACCCTCCAGCAGGGTCCCCTGGAGCAACGTGCGCAGATACAGGGGCCACTCCTCTTTTTCTGGTGCTTCCTCGCAGAGTCTGCGCTGGACAAGGACCACTGGGGTCCAATTCAGTCTCCTCTAACTCTAGCTGTGCAGCAGCTTCCTTAGTCTTTCCAGGAGGATTTTGAAGTAGGACCCTAATGTGTAATAACAAATCCAGACGACCAGCCATTCGGTATTTGTAGTGAGCATGGGAAGCGCGCACTGACATGAAATGTCTTAATTAGGTAGTTAACGGTTTATATAGGAGATACATTTTACTTTATTTAAAATCAGAACCCCAGTCTCCATGCTGCAATGGGCTCAATAACACACTGATCTCAAATGATTAGCAGGTGACATGTATCTGAGAGGCGGGGCCCAAGTCCTCTGAATCCCACGGGGCTGAAAATCAGTGTCAGCTCAATAAAATAAAATCTAAGAGCATTCCAGGTTCAGATGCAGATTGAACATGAGATAAACTAGAACCATCGTGAAATACGAAATTATTCTTGGGAGGAAAGCATGTAAAATATAGACAATCAGATCTTATGAAGCCTCTTATGTAGAGCTAATAGAAAAATTCTATTTATGCCTTCCACACCTCAGTAAACTAAAGTTTTCCTAGACTGAAAAAAACTTGTGGGTTACATTGGCAGAGCTGCCACTCCTGCCCTCCGCCCCCTTCCTCTCTCCCTGCTCTTCTGTCCCTCACGCTCCCCTCCCCTCCCCTCTCTTCTGTGCGCTGTTTCTCTCCTTTCTGTTTCTTTTTCCCATAATCAACTTGGTCATTTTCATCAGAATTATCATCTTTTTTCTGTCATCACCTCCACCGTTTATCCTGTAATTATAAGGGATATGTTATTTAATTTGATGATTTCTTCTTTGTTACTATTTATCATTAATAATTAATTTATAATGTTACAGATCAATGCAGTCAGGTCCAGAGGGGTGTGTGCCAGGGGCAGGAGCGAGGCGGTGCTGCTCGGGGTGGACACGGAGCTGTGACGACGCTGGTGAGTGTGAGACAGCAGGCTAGATGCCCCTCAATAGTGGCCCTCAGGAAACATGGTGATGCGATCGGGGTTTCTATGTAGTTCAGCTGAGGGAGCAGAGCAGCTGTCCTGATGAGGAACAGCTGTGCAGTCTGTCCCAGCGTGACCTTTCAAGTCTCAAACTCTCCTCCCAAGAGCAGGACAAAAGTTACTTCTATTGTGATCAATATCAATATTTCTTCATCATCAAATATGGTGACAAGTGCTTGCTTTCTTAAAGAAAATGCATAGCAACTCATTGTAATAGATCTTCTTCTGATTTACTTGGATTAAAGAAAAGATTTCTAGGGTACATGATATAAAGTGACCAACAGTTTTTACTTTATTGTAATTAGTCTTTTTCCTGGTCCCTTATTTAGGTTTTCTAGATTCCTGCTATGAATGAGACTATCCGGTATTTTTCTTTTTCTTTCTGGCTTATTTCACTGAGCATGATCCCTTCTGCTCCATCCATGTTGCTGCAAATTGCATGAGTTTATCTTTTTTGATTGCTGAGTAATATTCCATTGTGTATATATACCACATCATCAAAATCAACAAGCAACTATAAACCAGAGACATACATATGGGCGGGGGGAGGGAGTAGGATGAAAACAAGGGGTTGTGGGAATTGTATGGGGTCTATAACCAAGATGAAAATGCATACATTGTGCAAAAATGGCAAATGATGTAAAAATATATAAAATAAAAAAAAAAGAGTCCGATGACTTACCAGCTCAATGGGGCAGGATTTGTTTTCAGATTTAATCTAAAGCTCTGGATCAGTTTTCTATTCTATTCTTCCTTGAATGATATGGAATTAGAGCTAAGCAAGATGCTAAGAGAACAGTGTAGTGATTTATAAAAATTATGTAGGAAATTAGAAGAAATTCACTTTAGGGCAAAAAAAACATATTAAGGATACATGCAAACAACTTTGAAACTTCACAATGATCAGGGAGAGGTAAAAAATTATTTATGATGGGAGTTTAGAAAGATGAAAGAGAGCTCTGCAGTGTTGGTGATTTGAAGCGGTAATAGGCATCAGTGTGATAAATTGACCCCGTTGATATAGGAGAATCAGTAGTTGGATTTTTAAACCTAACCCCATGAACATAGTATTTAATCACACTGTCGAAAAGAGTATAAAGGAATTTATCTTAGCAGACACGAACTCCTATTGCATATGAGAGAGAAGGGTACTTCTATTTTCAAACTACAGAAGTGATAAAAAGTTTTTAAAAATAGTCCATACCTTTATCACATCACAGTTGTCCTTTCTTAACCAATGCAGGAGTTTGAACACCAACCCCACACAGTTGAAAATTCATATATAGTATATATTTGTTTCCCCCCAAATCTGAAATACTAATCACCTACTGTTGACCTGCAGCCTTAGGGAAAACATAATTAGCCATTTAGCCTATCTTCTGTTTGTTGTGTGTGTTATATACTGTATTCTTAGAACACAGTCAATTAGGCAAAAGAAAATGTCATTAAGAAAATCATAAGGAAGCGAAAGGCACTTACAGCATTGAACTGTTCTGATTCATAACATACCATTGTTGTTGGTGTACAGGGAAATCTTTAAGCGAATCCAAGCAGATCAAACCTGTGTTATTCAAGCGCTTCCCACAGATAAGTCAGCCCACAGAAGGAAAAACAATAGGCTACATCTCCTGCTTTTTATTTTATTTATTTATTTATTTATTTATTTTTTAAATTGCATGTTTTTTTATTTATTTATTTGTTTGTTTGCTTTTTGTTTATACATGCACTGGGTACAATCAGAAGCACGGGAGGGTGAGAGAATTCACCAGAGCCAGAGCGGGGAGCAGAGCAGGCAGAAGGACCGAAGTACACTGCTGAGGGGAGCAGCGGGCGGCAGGAGAGGTCTGCTCGCCATGTGGGACCCTCCTCCGGTGGCCGGGAGCTCGAACTGGCCCACAGAGGCCGCGGCAGCTTCACAACCCAGCGCTCAACCGCTGCGCCACCGGGGAGGCCCATCTCCTGCTTTTTAATCACATGAGAGCGTTTCTCTACTAAACCTGTAAATCTTTTCCCTCTATGAATAAACAAGCATCTTGTGCAGAAGTCAAAGGATTTGTAAATGTAAGAGATATTTCCCACTATTTCTAATTAATTGGATGCAGTTTATTTCTCTTTGAATAGCATCTACTCTTTTCTTTTTATTATGGCATAGCGAAGAAAATTAGGGGGTGATAATTCTCTGAATTTTAAAGTCAAATGTAAAAGGATTTCTACATTTGAACTTTGCTTTCTTCTTTGTTACATGATAGTTTTTTTTATTAATAGAGTTAGCTGCCTCACATCAATAGGCAAAATATCAAATTTTATATAGCACATGAAACAAACAAAAGAACCAAGGCGTTGGGGTGGCAGGTCTAGGCAGGTGGGGTGTGGGGTCTCCCAGGAGGCCAGTGGAAGCAAGGGAGGTGCACTTTGTGACACAGCTGTGGGGGGCAGGGAGCAAGTTGGGGGGGGCACCAGTCTTGGGGAGGGGGAACCAGAGCTGGCCCCACCTTGAGTTCTACTGCATGGTGAGGGAATTCTTGGGTGAGGACCACTTGGGTGCCTGGCCATGGAGCCCCCTCATCCAGACTCCACTGCAAAGATTCTGAGAACATCACCTGGGAAGAGAACCCAGGTGATGCTGAAAAACCCCCACCCCAACTTCCCCTGCTGAGTGGGCAAATCAATCATGACCCAATGAGAGAAGCCAGTTAGTCTTAGAGAAGCACAGTGCACTGACCTCAAACATTGAAAATATTCTTTCGCTGTGGACATTTGTAATTTTTTTCATATATGCGTATTATGCCCCCAAATGTCTCCTTTACAATGAACAGCGTTTGCTTCTGTTGTTGATTTCCAGTGTTTCTCCTGCTTCCCCAAAACTTAATCTAGTTCTAGAAGCACTTCTTGGCAGCCCCACCAATCTTTGTAGACATGAAAAAGAAAAATGTTATTTTGAAGCATCCCTAAATACTACTTAAAATTTTACTATTGTGGTAATTTAAAAAAGTTAATGATATTTGTAACAGTTCCCACAGTTTGCCTAGCTGTATTCTAATTCAAAACATTGGATAATTTAAATCTCATTTCTGTCCTTGAACTGCAAGCATCTAAGCTCTAGTAGATCAATGAAATCTAGCACATCCTATACATTTACCATTCTTCTATCTTAGTCTATAACTGAATGCAAATATAAATTTCATTATACCTCCAATATTCATGCTATTCCTCTGACAATCATAGGCACTTACACTGAATTTTTTTGTTTCATATTATTTTTCTAAAGAAATGCTATAAACTGTTATTCATCATTTATAGCATTCATCAAATGCTATAAACTATTATTGACCTTCCTACATTTAATACGTTTATATTCCCCTAAAAATCGTGTGACAGCATTCTGGTGTAGTTACAATCTGGGGATATGGTAGGAAAGGAAATTAAGACACTACATAGGGCATCTTAAAGTTTTATAAGGAAAGGGAGAGTCTGAGGAGAGTTAAACTTCAATTGATGCTACATTTTAACACTGCAAAATTTTCTAAATGAGAAGGAAGAAAATTTATAGAGTTGAAGAAGGAAAAACAGGAAAGAAGAACATGAGGAAGGAAGAGAGACACTGAAGGAAAGCAGCAAGCATGGCGAGGGGAGGGGAAAATTGCTTATATTTACATTTAATTTCCGACTGAAGATTGTAAATCAAGCAGCATTTTTTCTCTTCGTATTCATCCCCATTTTGACGGCCTCCCTTACAATGAAGTCATCTGGTGTTGGATGTCTCCAGCAGTCCCTAGTGCCCATCAAGTTACTTGAAAATTGTGCTTCCAATTTTCATTAGTTTTGATCTTATATTTCTGTGCTTAAAAAGTCAATAAATTCTTCAACCGTGGTACTGTTCAAAAAGAAGAAAATATCCTTCTTTTGAAAGCACTCTGAATATCTGTGGTGTTTGTTTATCTCCTTGGAAATTAATGAAGGATTTCTTTCCTCCCCGAGTGATGGTCATGTAACGAGAGCCTGAACAAATTAGCAATATCTTATCTCAATTAAAATCTCAATTAATTTTTTTCCTTAATGATCAAACTTCGTGGTGAGTTTTCAATTATCATAGTGACGTTATTGTGGTTCTGAAGGCTGTGGCAAAAACATTGAAACATTGAAAGAACAACTCAGTATCAAGACATTTAGCGTCCTATTCAAAGAGAAAAATGCAAGATGCTGTGAGAGGAAAGAAAGTAGAATGACAATTAGTAACTCATGGAGTTTGCACAGCAGAGGAAACCATCAAAAAATCAACAGGCAGCCTACAAAATTGGAGGAAATGTTTGCAAATGACAGATCTGACAAGGGGCTAGCACACACAAGGTATAAAGAATCCGTGCCACTGAGGAGCAAAAAGCCCCAAACTATGTGGTTAAAACCAGAAAGAGAATAGACATTTTTCCCAGAAAACATGCCAATGGCCGGCAGGCACAGGTCAAGGAGCTCAAGGTCGCTCATCCTCAGGGAGTCACAGGAGGAGCCACGGGACCTGACACCTCACCCCTGTTTTGGCCGCCCCCGAAACGTGGAGAGACTCGCGCGGGAAGGTGAGGCGGCAGGCCCCGGCGCACAGCAGCTCAAGCGCTGATGGGGTGCACCTTTCATTAGCGCCAGTACACGGAATTCTATCTCCGAGTGTGTGATAATTCATGACTGCATTAAGAGATGTGACGTGTTTTATTTTATAAGTAAGTTTATCGTTTCAACCTTATCAGAATCCCTCGTCCAGGCAGCCCGTCCGTGTCAGCTCGCCATGGCTTCGAGGACGCGCATTCCTGGCCCTCTCTGGCAGCGACCCCCTGGGTCCCGACACAGCCACCCTCATGTTCACTTGAAGTGAAAAAAGGTAAAACGCACCTTCTATAGTTTTTAATTGCCAATTAGTTTTTATTCGTAACTCATTTAGCACTGTTTGAGTTCCAACTTCATAAATTGGAGAAGGATCAGACTCTTCTATTATTTTCTTCCAAATTAACTTCTGAGTACTAAAAACCTGTTCCTCTATTGTTCCTTTGTGTATGCAGTCTAATGGAATCTCAGTTTCCACATAAGAATGTGCACATGTCAATAACATGAAGCCTTTTTTTAAAAAAAAAGATTTATTTATTTATACAAGCTCTGGGTACAGTCAGAGGCGCGGGAGGGTGAGAGAATTCACCAGAGCCAGAGCGGGGAGCAGAGCAGGCAGAAGGACCGAAGCACACTGCTGAGGGGAGCAGCGGGCGGCAGGGGAGGTCTGCGCGCCATGTGGGACCCTCCTCCGGTGGCCGGGGAGCAGCCGGGGATTGAACCGGCGCTGCAGAGGCTGCGGGCAGCTTCGCAACCCAGCGCTCAACCGCTGCGCCACCGGGAGGCCCCTATGAAGCCTATTTAAAAGCATTTAAAATTATAAATGAAATTTTCTTTCTAATTGGTAAATCAGTAACTTTAATACTTTCACCTAACTACCAGAATATGACTATTATCTATCTATGAAAGAAGTTTATATAGGAATTTAGTGTATATATATGTATATATTATATATATATATATAAGCTATCTCTCATCCATTATTCATAAATTACTGTAAAAGGAAAACATGTTTCTGGGTTATAAAAATTAAATAAAAACTTATATATACCTCTATTATTATCCTATTAACAGATATAGGATCATGAATATAAGAGATCATTTTAAAAGAGACTTTTTAAAAAGATTTATTTATTTATGCATACAAGAACTGGGGTGTAGGCCAGAGGTGTGAGGGGTCAAAGGATTCACCAGAGGCAGAGTGGGGAGCAGAACAGGCAGATCTACTGAAACACACTGCTGAGGGTAGAAGCTGGTGAGGCAGGAGAGTTCTGGAGGGCCCTGTGGGTTGCTCCCCGGCCTGCAGGGGATCAAACTCCTGCTGCAATGGCTGCTGATAGCTTGATAGCACTGCCTTTAACCCCTGTGTCACCAGGGAGGCCCCATTTTAAAGTAATATCTACATTTTAAAATAGAATAAAGTGACAATTAGGAAAGAACAGTTTTAACCTGCATAACTTTACACATTAAAATCCCACAGTATTTTAATATTGTAATTGCAAGTCAATGCAGGCTATTTCTATTATTCAAAAACATGGTAAACATGATGCAAACAATTAAATATAAATACAAGCTAACTGTTTCAACTGTTGTTACTGGGAAGATATCAGATCATACACCATTTCAAGCCTGGAATTATTGTGTAGACACACTGTGTAGTTGGAGATTGAGTTTTGGGATGAGGTACATTTGACATGGGTAGTTTCTTTTCCAACAGCTGTGCCAGTACAGAGACAAGCTGATCATTAAAGAAACTTCTTGGCAAACCACTTCTTGTTAAGTGGGGGATGCAGAATGCTTGGCATCTGTAATTGAAGTAATTTGTAAGAAACCACATTACTTAGCCAGCTGTAACTTCTACTATTTCATGATTAAGATTAGAATCCATTAATCAATTTATAGACACAAATACATTATTGTTCAAAATAAATAAAAATTTAAAAACACTCAAATCAATAAATATAATTACAACAATAGTCTGTTCCATTCATTTGTCTTCCAGATGTTTGGTGAAATTACTGCAGCCTGGAGCCAAACAACTAACACCATCTTTAGTTTTGTTTATTGTAATAAAATGTGTTAATGAAAAAGTGCAAAGATAGATAATAGAAATTAGTGTACTGTGACATAAAATTTTGCTTGAAAATCAAGGCAAGTACAGTAAAAGCTAATATGTTTAAATGAGCATTGCATAATGTATATCTAACAACTATAAAAATCATTTTTATTGAAGTATATCTGCAAATCATACAACATGAAAAATGACAGCAATATGCTTGAGACAGACTAAGTCTAGTCTATGGAAATAAATTTTGATCAGTATTTAAAATTTATTCTGGATAATCACAGGAAACGGGAGTTTAAAAGTTTCTGCACATACTCTATTTTTTCCTGTTTGTATCCAAGTATCATTAAATCTAACTCTAGTATTGTAAATTATTATACTCAATTGCCGCGGACTAACGCAGCGGTAGACTTGCAGGACTGTCTCAGGATTTGAGAAACTGTGAGGATGCTCAAGGAATCGGCGCATAAATGACAGACAGACACACTTCAAGAGTGAAGATCTGAATGTAATTTGCTCAAAATCATCATACACTTTTATACCATTTCCAACAATAGATGATTTCATACAATTTAATTCTTTCTCAGCATAAAATACTTTGTAAGGCATAAGACATCTACTTTATTATTCATGTGCATGTGATCGCTGTTCCATGACATGGCACAGTAAACAATCTCCAGGTACTGAATCTACACAATCATTTTTGCCTACACTGAACAGCATTCTTTAAGCTAGCTTTTCTTGATTCGTATCCCAAAACCACAATGATCAAAAAGCATTAATATTTACCTACTGGCACCTCCTACTTTTAGTGATCACGAGCAATATATTCTCTACGTAAGCATTTTGATTTTTATGGTGTTGTCTCATGTGAGAAGTATTATGATTATTATAAAACTACCATTGCCACACACTATTTTCTTTATCATGCATTTCCTGAAACTGATTGTACACATATAAGGAAAAAGCAAAGTAAGTGAAAAAGTAGTATGATTATAGACAGGTTGCTAGGTTGCTACTTATTCTGAAACAATGGCTATTTGATTAATGGTAAAACTGCTTTGTAGGTAATTCCATCAGGCTTGTTTGCAGGTGACGTTCTTAGCAGCCTTGTTTCCATCAAAGGAGGGGTTAATTACTGCGGGCTTGTTGCCTAAATTAGGCTTATAGGCATGTGTGCCTTGTTTGATCTGAACGCCAAAGTTTATCATGATGAAGCCCCTCGGGGACTGCGCCTGTCTTAGGTCGTCAGGAGTCACAGACATGAGGCTGGCCAGTGCCTTCTTTAGTCTGCCCCCGATCTTACCCGTCATTGACTGTCCAGTCCAGCGCACAGGGGAAGGGGGTCTTACTCACTCTGATGTGTCTGAGTGAAAGCCTCCCTCTTTCCAGTAAGTTCACTGGCGTTCAGCGGCAGAGGCTGCCGCACTCAATTCCTTTATAAAACATCATTTTGATTCAAATAAAAATAAACCCTCACTATCACTTACATAATAGGATACATAGGTGTACACAGACAGTATACGGTATAGGGTATAAGAACAGTATATGGTATAAGACAGTATATGGTATAAGAACACATTATACGGTATACACCATGTTACATGGTATTGTATGGAAAAATGTGGGAGATAGAAAATATCATTAGATTTTATATATGATGTTACTAATAATATCACTAATTTTAAGTTTGTAATATTATCTAAGTTATAAATCACTTAAGAAGTCTTCAAAAATACAGTATATCATTTGTATTGTTTTTAAATAGTACATTTTAAAATATGCTCACTTACCAACCAATAAATCTTAAATGAATTAGGAAAATGTATAACAATTTCAGTCTTATATTTAAGATCTTTCAAATAAGCATGTTATGATTTAGTATCAAAAATACTTTTTTTACTCTATTTTTTTCTAATTACTGGAAAAATTAATGAACATCAACATAAGCATTTGTTGGAACTAAATGTAATAACAGTTCGAGGTCATTGCTTCTATGAAATGTTCGAATACAGTAAACAAAAATAGATGTTTTATTTCAAAGTAAGGATATCTTGTTTTGAATATTGAGCATTAAAATCGATGGCAAATTGAATAATACCCTTTTTTAAAAGATTTATTTAATTATGCATGCAAGAACTGGAGTGTAGGCCAGAGGTGCAGTGGGTGAGAGGATTCAACAGAGTGGGGAGCAGAACAGGTGGATCCACTGAAATCCACAACTGAGGGGAGCAGTGGGGAGATTGGAGAGGTCTCCTGCCCTCTCCTGTGTGGGTCAGCTCCTGGGTTGGGGATCAAACTCCTGAACTTATGCCTCAGTGTCTGGTGACACGGCGACTTTAACTCCTGCACCCTCAGGGAGGCCCCGAATAATACAATTATAAACCAGAATAAGCTAGGGTTTGATGGGTTAATTCTACCAAACTTTAAAATTTTTTAAAGGTTTATTTATTTATGCACACAAGAACTGAGGTACAGGCCAGAGGTACAGGAGGTGAGAGGATTCCCCAGAGACAGAGCGGGGAGCAGAAAAGGCAGACCGACTAAAATCCATAGCGGGGAGACAGGAGAGGTCTGCTGTGCCCTGTGGGTAGCTCCCTGGCCAACCAAGGATGGAACTCATGCTGCAGAGACTGCCCATAGCTTCACAGTGCTGTGCTGAACCCCTTGTGCCACCAGGGTCGCCCCACTTTTGAAGACATTGTACCAATTCTCTACAGCTCTCTGAGTGTCTTTCTGACAGTAGAAGGTACATGAACACTTCAACATATAGAAGCACCCACATACACACTCATGTACAGGCTCACATGCACACACTTGCACAGACACTGTGAAATGCACATACACCTAAAGAACATAGTGCAAATACCTAATGACATACTCATTGGCAGCTCTGCGCCACTCTCCATCTCACTGTGCTATCACCGTGTGATCCACCTGACTTCTAAAATTTCCTCAATGCTTTCTAAAATCATCTAAATTTTCTTAAATTTCCAGTGCTGATCATAGGAATTTTAAAGCAAATTTAGGTATCTGATGATCCAGGTGTTGGAAGTGCAGGCACGTTCGTAAATGAGAAGCAAATAAGGTCGGTTTCAAACAATGATTTAATGAGTCATGGCATAGACACGCTAACAAAGCAATCCATTTCTGAGTGTCTCCATCAGGCCGAGAAACAGCATTCAGATGCCTCCATGCCCCAGCGCCCTAGAGGCAGAGCCGGTCACCTGGAGGTCCCCTCTGCAGTGGGGAGCCCGTCTGCCCATCGCGGCCACCTCCTGAGCCGTCCGGGACCTGCGTGGGAAGAGAAGAGCCAGTAAAGCCCAAGCAGAGAGTGAAGTGTTCAGGATGCTCGTGTGTGAGTGAAATCCCCCAAGGAGCGTTGCACAGAGGTGATTGGGCAGGGCTCAGAAGGAAACCAGGAGGCCCTACCACTAGCTGGCAGGTGAGCTATTCTCCAACTTGGAGCTTCAGTTTTTAAAAGGGGCCCAACCCAGGGGGACTTCCTACCGTGTCCGTCAGTCAATGACAATGCCACTCAGACCACAGAGCTCCTGCATCCTCTGCGCCATCCGTGTGCCCAGGCGCCAGCAGCAGGGCTGTCCCAGCAAGGGGGCGGGGAGGCCTTCACAGGACAGAGCCTAAGGTGGGAAGCAAGGCCGTGGGTTCCCCTCAGCCTCTGGCCCTGGGGCCTCTGGGAGCTCCGCCCCTGCACAGCTCCACTCCCCACCCTTCATCTGTTCAGCTGCCTCCAACCTCCCCTCGCCCCCCTTCACCCTTCACCCGCTTTGCTCACCCACCCCTTTCACCCGCTTTGCTCGCCCCCACCCCAGGTGCTTCACCAGTTCCATTGCCCTCCTGGCCCTTCACCTGCTCTGCTCCAGGACATCTGTGTTCCGCGGACATCTGTGATCAGGTCCTGTGTGCGTCATGCTTCTCCTGGCCCCTCTGACTGGGCCCAGGCCCTGACCCCTCTCCAGAGCCTCGCCCTCCCCTGGCATGCTCCTGCTCACTTGGTGGCTGCATTATGGGCGGGACATCTGCAGGGTGTGGCAGTCTTATGAGTTGTCGGGTGGGTGAACACCCTTGCCGCGTTTTCAGTGGTGTGGTCGGCAGAAACAGCACAAATTTAGCAGGGCATTCATTATCCTCCTGCTGGCCCGCCCGCCTTGGCTAGAGCTAATGGATGGGACTGAGGTGTCATTGTCTTCATGGCTTTCTGCAGGAGCCACCACATTCCTGCGGAACTTGAGGAGCCAGCGGAGTCTTGGGGGAGGTCTGAGGTTGGTGAGGGGGGGCTGGGGGGCAGGACTGACTGGTCCCTTCTTGCTTTCCTGTTCACCCTCCACCAGGGGGCCTGGCATGGTGGTGGTGCTACCACCCTCCTTGGTGTCCTGCACCTGGGGGCCCAGAATGGATGTGGCGCTTTGCTCTGGGGCATCCTCCTGCGGGGGGTCTAGAATGGAGGTGGTGCTGTCCTCTGCCTGGGGGCCTGGAATTGAGGTGGCGCTCTGATCTGGGGCACCCTCCTGCAGGAGGTCCGGAATGGAGGTGGCGCTCTCCTCCCAGGCATCCTCCCGCAGGGGGCGTGACCTGGGGGTGGCACTGTCCTCCACCTGGGGGTCCGCAATTGAGGTGGCACTTTGCTCTGGGGCTTCCTCCTGCAGGGGCTCTTGAATGGAGGTGGCACTCTTCTCGGCCTGGGGGCTTGGAATTGAGGTGGCGCTCTGATCTGGGGCACCCTCCTGCAGGGGGTCCGGAATGGAGGTGGCGCTCTCCTCCCAGGCGTCCACCCGCAGGGGGCGTGACCTGGGGGTGGCGCTGTCCTCCACCTGGGGGCCCGGAATTGACGTGGCGCTGGGCTCCGGGGCAACCTCCTGCAGGATGTCCAGAATGGAGGTGTCGCTCTCCTCCCAGGCGTCCTCCCGCAGGGGGCCGGCGTGGGGGTGGCGCTGCGCTCTGGGGCGTCCCTCTGCAGGGGGCCCGGCGTGGGGGTGGAAGAGTCCTCCCGGGTATCCCCCACCTGGGGGCTTGACGGGGAGCTGGCACTGCGCCCTGAGGCTCGGTCCTGCGGGATTTTCACGCAATTGGTCCTGCGGCCCGGGGTGGCCAGGAGGCTGAACACAGCTGACGCAGCGGCATCCTCTGTCTGTCCAGCCTCCTGGCTTTGCTCATCCCCGGACACCTGCAGGAGGCCCTCCCCGGAGTCCCGGGCACCAGGGGTCACGGCGCGTGGGCAGGGCTCCTGGGGGGCGGGGAGACTCGGCCACGCCTGCCCCTCCTCGGGACTCCCCTCCCCCCGCCTCCGGGACCCAGGATGAGGTCCGTCCCCATCACCTCGTCGAATCTTCGCTCCACCACGGCCGTCTGGCTCTGCTGC